GCCTTCTGTGTGTGTGCGTGCGTGCTGAGATTTTGTGAGCCCATAGTCCATTAGGCCTGATGCAACTTCTTAAATAAGTTAAGTGGTCAACGCATACAACCATTCCACTCCACTCCACTCGCAATCATTAAACCAGCAGTCAATGAGGACCAGTTCTGTAGCACTGTCTTACACATTCCATAGGAGTGAAGTGTGTGCTGAACACACTCAGACTAACATTCAATGCATTCACAAGACTATGAATTTCGTCAGCGTCTTTCATCTAGAAAGACCATATGGTCTTTGTGATACGACATTATCACAACACTCTTCGATTGGCCCTCAGGTTGACGAGTATTCCAAGTATCGGTCGCCTGTAAGTCTGTCTGTGTTCCAGAGGCTGTCGAAGGCTGGATGCAGATTCGGTCAATCAATGCACTCTCGTCTAGGCCTGAAACCTGACTGTTACTCTTGGGTTGTTTCCACCGAGCTACACTTAGTCTTCATATGACTATGGACGACAGAAGCTTAAATACTAAATCAGTCAAGTTGATCTGCCGCCTGTGCTCACATCACAAAAAGATTAGTTGCCTTTCTTATAAAGTCGAATGATCAGCCACCTGCATCCTCTGATCTTTAATGACGTTTCACTCAAAGCTATCAAGTATCCTCAACAGTGTTTCTACACGAGACTGGATATTGTGTCAGGCTTGTTCAGGACGAGTATCAGTCTGACGCTCAAATAAATCCTTAGTCAACTCCTCGTCACATACACACCTGACATTCTCATCCATAAGCTAGCCAATGTAAGGGTTTCACAACCCGCCTGTCTTCTACATTCATTCAGTGGCAGCCACCCACATCCAAGAACTGACGCATCCTCCCAGTGACTGGTTGACTCAATCACTTGCCATCTCACCTACTCACTCGTTGACGAATTAACGTGGAACTTTGCACACACGTGTGTCAGTTCAGCTTGGAGCACCTCGAGAAAGCACACGTTCAGTGAGAGAAGAGAAATCTTATGACACTACAGTGGGCAAAGATGTGTGTGGAAGAACGAATAGTTTAATCAGGAGGTAGTGAAGATGTCGAGAATTTCGACAATAATGAGTGAGTAGCTGTGAGCCATAGTCAGCGATCTGGAGACAAGTCATCAAGAGTAGACAACCATCGATTCTTAGTATCCTGAACACGATAACCAGGCAGACTACACCTCACTATACACAGCTCAGACCAACAATCAATGACTTCATAGACTGATGTCATGTTTCCCTCTCACCACTCTCAACTCTCTTCCAATCTAATCCTACTCCAGTCAACATTACTCGTCGAGGAAGACGGTGGCACTGCATGCGCAACACTACTCGTTCTAGCCACCTCAATCGATGAAGCTTGACAACCTCATCGACTCAATTGCCTACATTACATTTTCCAACTGTGCACGTTCAACTTCAACATTACTTGTTATGTGGCTCCACCCAATGTGAGCGATTTAGGGAAGACAAGTGCAGTCGAAGACATGTGATCTCCTACTTTCATCGGTCATGTCACACAACTGTAGGCTAGGATAGAGTGAACAGCTCTGCAGTGTGCAGTACAAACGCTCGTTGACGGCTAGTCAGATATCTCACCGTCACTGAAGACGACACCATATTGTCAAATGTCTAACGAGCCTTCTGTGTGTGTGCGTGCGTGCTGAGATTTTGTGAGCCCATAGTCCATTAGGCCTGATGCAACTTCTTAAATAAGTTAAGTGGTCAACGCATACAACCATTCCACTCCACTCCACTCGCAATCATTAAACCAGCAGTCAATGAAGACCAATTCTGTAGCACTGTCTTACACATTCCATAGGAGTGAAGTGTGTGCTGAACACACTCAGACTAACATTCAATGCATTCACAAGACTATGAATTTCGTCAGCGTCTTTCATCTAGAAAGACCATATGGTCTTTGTGATACGACATTATCACAACACTCTTCGATTGGCCCTCAGATTGACGAGTATTCCAAGTATCGGTCGCCTGTAAGTCTGTCTGTGTTCCAGAGGCTGTCGAAGGCTGGATGCAGATTCGGTCAATCAATGCACTCTCGTCTAGGCCTGAAACCTGACTGTTACTCTTGGGTTGTTTCCACCGAGCTACACTTAGTCTTCATATGACTATGGACGACAGAAGCTTAAATACTAAATCAGTCAAGTTGATCTGCCGCCTGTGCTCACATCACAAAAAGATTAGTTGCCTTTCTTATAAAGTCGAATGATCAGCCACCTGCATCCTCTGATCTTTAATGACGTTTCACTCAAAGCTATCAAGTATCCTCAACAGTGTTTCTACACGAGACTGGATATTGTGTCAGGCTTGTTCAGGACGAGTATCAGTCTGACGCTCAAATAAATCCTTAGTCAACTCCTCGTCACATACACACCTGACATTCTCATCCATAAGCTAGCCAATGTAAGGGTTTCACAACCCGCCTGTCTTCTACATTCATTCAGTGGCAGCCACCCACATCCAAGAACTGACGCATCCTCCCAGTGACTGGTTGACTCAATCACTTGCCATCTCACCTACTCACTCGTTGACGAATTAACGTGGAACTTTGCACACACGTGTGTCAGTTCAGCTTGGAGCACCTCGAGAAAGCACACGTTCAGTGAGAGAAGAGAAATCTTATGACACTACAGTGGGCAAAGATGTGTGTGGAAGAACGAATAGTTTAATCAGGAGGTAGTGAAGATGTCGAGAATTTCGACAATAATGAGTGAGTAGCTGTGAGCCATAGTCAGCGATCTGGAGACAAGTCATCAAGAGTAGACAACCATCGATTCTTAGTATCCTGAACACGATAACCAGGCAGACTACACCTCACTATACACAGCTCAGACCAACAATCAATGACTTCATAGACTGATGTCATGTTTCCCTCTCACCACTCTCAACTCTCTTCCAATCTAATCCTACTCCAGTCAACATTACTCGTCGAGGAAGACGGTGGCACTGCATGCGCAACACTACTCGTTCTAGCCACCTCAATCGATGAAGCTTGACAACCTCATCGACTCAATTGCCTACATTACATTTTCCAACTGTGCACGTTCAACTTCAACATTACTTGTTATGTGGCTCCACCCAATGTGAGCGATTTAGGGAAGACAAGTGCAGTCGAAGACATGTGATCTCCTACTTTCATCGGTCATGTCACACAACTGTAGGCTAGGATAGAGTGAACAGCTCTGCAGTGTGCAGTACAAACGCTCGTTGACGGCTAGTCAGATATCTCACCGTCACTGAAGACGACACCATATTGTCAAATGTCTAACGAGCCTTCTGTGTGTGTGTGTGCGTGCGTGCTGAGATTTTGTGAGCCCATATTCCATTGGGGCTAATGCATCTTCCTAGGTTGGTAATGTTTTCGGTCTTTTATTGCTGCTGTTGGTAGTTTGTAATCACGTCTTTTTTGTGGTTGTTTTTAATTGGTTCCTCTGAGGATCTTTTTTTCTTTAAGTTTTTATGTTTCATTTCATGTTTATTTTAATATTTTTCTCTGTATTTCACATTTAACTATTTGTTTCGTGTGACTTTAATTTTCGGTTTTCTTCTCTTTTTAATTTACTCTTCCATTGTTTTATTTATTACTATTTTATTCTACAATTCTACAGGAACATAGGGCTTCAGCCGTGCGTCTCCATTGCGTTCGGTTCTCTGCTAGAGTCTTCACCTGGCTCCAAGTCTGCCCACACGTTTTCATCTCCTCTTCACATGACCTCCTCCAAGTCACTCTTGCACTGACGACCAACTCGCCGCTTCCCTTTCGAGTTCCACTCGAGCAATGGCTTGTCTAGTGATGTCACTCATTGATGGTTTCCTAAGAGTATGGCCACTCCATCTCCACTTCCTCCTGCCTATTTGTTTCACAATCGGTTCCTGGTTGGTTCGCTCCCACAGATCTCTGTTGCTGATCTTTTCTGACCATCTGATCTTGAGTATTGAGCGAAGACAACTGTTAATGAAGGTCTGTAGTTTGTTTGAGATGCTCTTTATGATGCGCTGGCCAAGTCTCTGATCCGTATAGTAGCACTGACTGACTTCACATTGGAGTTGAAAATCCGGACCTTATTTTTGATGGTGAGTGTTGTTGAACTCCACACAGACTTGAGAGTAGTGAAAGCTTGTCTTGCTTTTCCGACTCTTGCTTTGATATCCTCGTCAGTTCCGTTGGCCTGTAGTTGAAACGATGCTTCCCAGGTTGGTAGGCAAAGGAGGTTGTTTCTTTCAGGTTCCTCCCATTTATACTGATTGTTGTCAGTTGTTGTTGTTGTTGCTGTTGGTGGTGTTGCCCAGGAATTTTCATCACCTCTGTCTTCTCTATGTTCACCTGAAGTCCTATCTTTGATGCTTTTTCTGCTAACTTGTTGCTTTTCGCTTGCATATCTCCCAGTTTGTGGGAAATCAGACATATATCATCGGCAAAGTCAAGATCCTCCAAGTTTTTGTGTGGGTCCATTTTATGCCTGTTTCCTCAATGCGCGCTGTCTGTCGCATTATCCGGTCTACTGCAATCAAGAAAATCATTGGCGATAGTAGACAGCCTTGTCCTACTCCTGTCCTCACTTCGAAGGATTCCGTAAGTTTCCCGTTGTGGATCACTTGGCATGCGATTGTGTTTGTGTTTTTTTATCTAACGCGTTGGTTTTATTTTGGTGCTGGATTCTTTGTGATGATATAACCTTTAGCACTAATAATGACACTTTTCCTTAGCGTTCCTTGTCTGACGCTTATCGACTGTTTTATTCATTATATTTTCATATTTCTTCAGTGCTGAAATTTATAGGCATATTCAGGCGAATAAAACAGTCAGGGCTGAGAAAATTCCCACATATTATTGTCTGAATATGCTTTTCCAAGTTATCAGTCGTTTGTGGGCCTTTAATGACTTTTAGTTACAATTTCAATTAATACTATTCAAATAAATCGCCTAAAAATAATATTATTTACTTCATAGATTTTGTTTCCTACCTTACATAAACGTATGGCACTTGAATAAGCCTTTGCCCTTGTAAATAAACGAATGGCTTGATCAATGCCTCCTTTTGGTTCTAGGTGCCGCGCTAAATGATGACAGGCCCCAGCATCACCAGTTTCATTACATATTGCTTCAGCTTCAGATTCTTGACCAAGACAGCAAAGTACGCGCACAAGTGATAAATAATCTTTCGATTCAAAGTAGTACCTTTTAGCTTCTTCTAGTCTTCCTTGTGCCTCTAGCGTCTGAGCCCACCATCGTTTAATGCTTCTAAATAGGAGATTAAAATATATTGGGACGGATGAAGAGCCGGGGAAAATGGATAATTTTATGCTATAAAACAAAATAAAGAGTCATTGCTTTCTTATATTCACAGCTTCATAATATAGTCATGTACAGAGGAGGTTAACGCTTTAATTTTTCTCACTACATCTTTTCTCTTGGTAACCACACATCAATCGTTGTGGCTAATATTCGATAACCCTTAATAAATACGTAAATTTTAAGTGGTTACCATTTGCCCTTGACAATGCTTCGTAGTGTGGTTACAATGAACTACCATCACACCCAGACAAAACGGAATGAACCTTTCATGGTGCACATAGCAAGCCGTTGACGAATAAGTTGCAAATTTTCTGCAAGCCAATGAGTAACTTTGTTCTGAGGCGAGTTGATCACAAAAGTTAAAGGTCTCAAGGGAATATGTAGTCTATGCGTTTTCAGCTGGCCATACATGTAGGCAAACGCCTCAGCACAATACTTCTCGTTGAGTTGCACAAAAGTTGGAATCTACTTGTCACTTACTAGCTGTGCACACCGTGAAAGATTCATTTCGCCGAAAGCCTGAATCACATGAACGTTTTCAATAAGTTCATGGTGTCATTTGATGTCAGCTTCCTGTTTAATAGGATCCCAATTAATGAAACTATAGATATAATTTGTCAGCATTCTGATCTTCCCCCTCTCCCACTGCCGGAACTTAATTGCCCACTTCCAATGTGTGGCATCAGTGTACAGTTCCAGTTGCGTAACAGTCCGCTAAGGCCTGTATTAACAGATATTTCAAAACCCACCTTGAGATAACAAAGTTGAAGCCTGTATTTGATGAAAAATTTGCAGTACACAACAGTCAAAGTCTTGCGTCCTACCAGCTGAACTGTTCAATGATGCACATGCAAATAATTACTTCACTATGGAACATCGCCATTCAGTGTCTGGAAGATGACAGTTATCAGAGATCAATTCACCGAAAGCTTACATAGAATGGACAATACTTAAATTTCAATAGTTTTGTCCAATAGCTATAAAGTAGCATCGGTCAAAACGCTGTTCTACAGAGGCGGGAGAAAGTGCTTTACAGAGAAACCACAGGAAGGATTTTTGCCCTTTGAAAAGATGTTGAAAAACAACGATTACCCCTAAAAATTCATTAACAAGTGTGGAAGATATGAAGGTTCAAATGCAAGACAAATCACAGTGGAAAAGAAGTCTATCTTCATTCAGCTGGATTTTAAAGGTGACGATATGTATAGCGAATAGAGAAAGGAGGATTAAACACCTCACTATCCAGAACCTATTCTGCAGGTAAGTTTTTTCCGGAAAACATGCTTTTTGGTCCAATCAAATGTCGATAGATAGCCATCTTATGTTAGTTCCAACTGTGTATACTTCTTTGCTGTTCTACCCAAGCATTTATTTTTCGTCTTAACTTGAAACTTCTGTGTGTAAGTTATATAAGTGTCGCGCTAAATCACAAACTGGTAGAAGTTAGAATTCATGGGCCATTGAATCGAGTCCCATTGGCTGAGTGGTATACGAGCTAGCCTTGTAGCCGGGAAGTCCTGGGTTCAAACCTCACTGATTGCTTACTGCCAATGATTCCCTAACTAGGATGAAACAGCTGTCCAGTACTCCCTGGCTTTCAGTGGTTCTTTAACTGATATCAATCCTTGATGAATTCGTAAAAACAAAACTAATCCTTAAACACCAACTACAGGAAACTATTTATTAAGTTTAGACTCCCTTGTCAACTTGCGCCATTTCACATTTACAACTATGTAACAATTGTTATATTTATAAACTTGATAATCTTTTAGTGTGTATGCTGCTGATGCGAAGCCAACAAAATAAACAATGCTACCATCTTATTCTGAAGATTTTTGCTTCGTTTGAAATAACACATTCACTTTGCTAAAGGGCGTTTTGACCATATTGCAGTCTTAGCCAACTGACAAAAACTGCGATGAATTAATTACTGACCAGTTCACGTATATAAGTATCCTCGAATTTATATCTCTTGCTGCATTACCATGCTATAAACTATTAAATACTCCATTATATGTTCACATATGTAACAATTTATGTCACTTTTTAGGCTGTTAGGAGCTAAAGAATAGTCATAAAACAACATAATCTGCTTTTATCTTGCTGATAAGAGTGGTTTAACACATATATTTTAGCAATACAGAGTATATGACTGTCTATGTGGTCAAAGAACAAAGAGTAATTTAAACATAGCAACCAAGTCTCAATTTTTGAATGAATAAGACAGAGCAATTGGGCTTGAAACATCCAGAAAATGATACCGTGTCAGTGTACTTGTTATCTCATACGAAAACTGAGCACTACTGATTTATCGTCAAGGAGGATTCTTATTATCCTGCCGCTTAAAAATTTGCAGATTTCATCGGATTTTGCAAAGTTCATAGTGCAACCCAAACATTGAGTTCTTAATGTAAGAGTACTGTTTGGACACTGGCAGAATACAATTTCATATCAGATCAGTTTGTCTGAAATAACATACGGTGATACAGTATTAAAAACTGGATGATATTTCAAGAACAATTTCCTGCTGATCACTATCGTGTCAAAACCTTCACACAACTACTTGGCTGGGTCTATATAGTTCCTTCCACTCTACCCTCCTGTTAATGCAGACTACCATATATTCAGGATAGGTTCTGCATCGTTCCTACTGCATGTATCTATTATAAACTTGATTAGCAAAGATACAGTAATTAACTTCTCTCACAAACTACCCACATTATGCCTTAGAGCTACCACACTATTGAGTGACAACATGCAAGTGTACGCATAGCAATGGCCACGCCTTTTCCTACATCACTTTGTCTAGGATGTTTGAGGTTTTCATTCCATATCTAGCTAAATTCCTATATCCCGATAACATGACTGACACCGATCTATTTATTGGTTTGATCTACGTAATTGACGTCACATTCATTAAATGATATTTGGAGAATCATTTACGATTTTGCTTAATTGGGTCACTTGGATACTGAAACCGACAGAATTTATCTCCGAGTAATTGGTTTGTTTATATTCTACGCTAATTCCAGCTTTAATGATAATTCCACACAGGGGTTAAAATGTTCATCCTCCATAAAACAGTATTATTGGGGATTCAAATTGCTTAATGTTGTACATACATAGTTTAAATTACGATTGTTATTTTTCATAAAGCGAGAACAACGATTTATTCAAATTTATAAAGCGAAATAAGTGTACGCAGACTCCTATTCTTCTCATAGATCTTATTACATTTTTGAATGAATCGTAGTGGGTGACTGTTCAGTAGTAATGTTCTCCTGTTTTGTGAAATTTGATATTATGCTAATTTTAATAAATGGGGAAGAAACATTGGAAACGTTGTACAGAATTCTTAATAAGTTATTTAAATAAATCATTCAAGTTAGCACCCTTCAGAATACGTTGATGATTTTAAAACTGGCAATAGCTGTTAGCGATATTTCATTGTTAGCTTTATGAAATAAGCAAACTGACGGAGAAATTACACTCCTAATCTAGCGCTTCCAAATATTAACATTCTTTTAAATTGTTGTAAGGTAAGGAAATTGGCTGCAGGAACTTATTCTGAACACAAGGATCTGAATTCTTCAGGTAGATTCTGACTGCTTCAGTTGTATGTGGAAAACGAACGCGTAAAGCTAAACCAATGTTGGCGGGAATGCAACAAATGATTTCATGCAGTTTATTAGTATCAGATTTATGCTCACTATCTACAGGGTATGCTAAAACAGAGCTAGGAATTTATCTTGTTTGTCTCTTGCTTAACCATTCAGGATGATGTTTGGAAATACGACTATGACCCTGCCAAACTGTACGCCCAATATAACTAGATCCACAGGAACAGTCAATCCATTTGTCTTTTAAGTGTCTAAATAAGGACTTTCAATATTCTTACAATTTTTCCGTAAATGTATATGTTTATATAAAAATTCAGTTGACTTATTTTATTTATTAATTTTTTATGAGGTGTTTGCTAGCCCCTCACGCCCAACCTTCCCTCTTCACTGGATTAGCGTCTGCCAGGGACCGAACTTCGGACCACGTGGGTGGTTGCAGAGCGTTCTACCGCTGAACCACTGGCGCACCAAGGAAATAAAAATAATCAAAAGTGACAGAAAACCACTACTATCGAAACTTCAGAGCTGTAGCTTAAAGCCTTATCTTCCACTAGGAAAGTAAAGGAATAAAATAAAGAATATTATTTTACTTAAAACAATTTTTATACTTACTGATCTGTTTGGCTTGTTACAAATGATTCCAATAATTCTGGATTACTTTTCAGCATTCTAGGCACCTCAAAACGATATGTTTCTGACTTAATGTAACTGAAAGAGACAGAAAAAACATGAAATAAAAGATAACAGTTAGGCAATGAATATGAAACATCAATACTTTGCTATCATTATAAGATACAAACGCGCACCGTTTAAAAAATGTTGAGAATTAACGTGTGATGAAGTGCAGATTTATCCAAGAATAAATAAATAAGTAAATACATCAGTAACAAGTAATATCACTCAGTAACTAACTCAGCATAAGTTTTTATTTATTTGATTTTGACACTGTCACCAGTGACACTTCATAAACTGATTATAAAACTTCAGTAACACTAAAAGCATCCGTTTAAACTCCAAATCTTTTCCATCTCTTAATTCCCTGATCTGTCAGTCCCCCTAATTGTTACGGTGCTTTCTTCTACACCAACTGCTCATCGCTGCTAAACTAGATAGAAGAGATTATCAGTCTCAAAATAATTGGTAGAAAGTGTAGTATTTTATTATTAGATGGTTGGAGGCAATCGGCAGGAAGCCTAGCTTCACATAGGTTTCATGCTAGTCCAATCAAAAATATCCAACAAAGCCCTACAGGAAGTCAATCGCGAGCCCGAATAGCTCAGGGGTAATGTCTCTGACTACAGCACTGAATAACGCGGGTTCGAATCTCAGAAGGGACATGATTTCCTTCACGGTTGCAGATACGCCTTGCTGATGAGTGCTCACTAGCACGAAAACCTAGGTCAAAGGCCTCCTGCAGATTGCCTCCAACCATCTAATACCAACAATTCACAGTGCACCGTGACAGTGAGTCACCTAGAATGGCCACGTAGCAAACTTGACTGATAGAATTCAGTCTGCACCAAAGATAGGACTAGACACATTACACTAATTACTGACTAGTGTCTAACCAAGTGTAGTATTTTAGCTAATAAATTACTCATCATATATACTTCTACATAATTTTATACAGTCGTTTTTTCACAGTGATTATTAATATTTGTGATATTTGTCGTTCAGAAATATTATGCCATTTGAATTAATACGTAAAGAAGTTATAACCACAAATAACATAGAGAGTTATCAAAATTTATCACAACATAATGACAAAGGTAAAACGAGGAATGTCATTAGAATTAATGAGGGGAATTAATAGAAGACAGAAAAAAAAGTCATTTGAATCCCGAAACCAATAAACAATGAGTAAACTGCAGTGTTGTGACGTATGCTACTGATAAGACTTATAAGTAGTATATAGATTTAAATATAAATATGCATATGATTCGCAAGAATATCGAATAGCGGAGATGGATTTAATGAACGAAGCTTGTGAAACAACATGGAGAAAATGAAAGGAAGATAAAAGTAGCTCCATAACGAAGATGTGTGCACATTGTGATTCTAAAATATGTGATGGATGCATCATGCCTATAACTGTGTATCGATTAATAATAAAAAATTCCTCTACGGAACTCTCCAGACATCTACCCTCACAATATAGCAACCATCTTTGTAAAGCCCACTTGACAGATTCGTCTGCTGCAATATTTCAAATGTAAGCAACTACTTCATCTGTTAACCAGTTACATAAAGAGCTTAGTGATATTTTGTGTCATGCTACAAACTTCGATGTTTGACGATAGTATTTAATTTAATGAATTAATTGTGAACAATACAATAACCAGCTTTCAGAAAACAATCAGCCAAAAGATAAATATCTGTACACTAAAAAATTCCAGTGCTGTATCGAAAGTCCATTAATTTGAAAATCAAAACGTTTGAGTTTTAATTTATGATAAACACTTCTTAATAGCACTTATACAAAGTAAGCAAAAGTTGCAAACAGTCTTACTGCTCAATAGCTTGTTTGATTTGACCTGTAGACTCCAATTCTTTGGCATAAGAATAGTGAATACCACGTAACGACATACGATGATGCTGCTCAGCTGTTGTAATTGCTTTATTCCAATTGCCAAGTGACTGATGCAGACGGATTACCAAATCCCATCGATTACACTGGATAAATAATCGTTCAGCTTCATCCTAAACAGTTGGCCGAAATAATGCATTAAGCAAACTCCTCATTTAGTTTGTTAAGATCTAAAAAAGTTATCGTAAAAGCCGTAGTCTTCACGATAAGTAGTTTGGTAATAGGAAACGTGAGGTTTTTTCTCATATGATTAACGAATAGTATAAAGGTAATGCTTTTACTGTGTTGCTCTGCAGTTACTTATTTAAATGTTCTCTTTGTCTGTTATGGGCAGTGCTTTTCATTTCGTAGTCAGAATTCAATGAGAATTTGTGGCTTGTTGCTAGGTAGCCATTTGGCGTATATATATATATAAAGAAGTTGCTATAAATGTCCCAAATCTTCTATGTTTTATTCTATTTACCCGATGACTTGTGGGAGACAGAAGATCAAATCTAAGAGACTAGGCAATGGGCTTAAGGGAAACTGCGGTGAAGTGAACGTGTCGAAGATATATTTCTAGTTATTGGGTAATCATATTACCAAGTAAAACAAAAGCATATTTTCTGTGATAATAATACGCTCATTTTGGAAACAATGCAACCGGTAAACTCCATCCAGCTTATGTGCCAAATAAACACACTAGTAGTAAATTTGATAACGTATAGATTGGATACCAAAATACAAAGTGATTATTATTGGAACACAATTTCTGCGTTTCGCTGTAGCCACAGCTCTTCAGCAGATTTATTAATAAATATTATTATTGGCTTGGGCAATGAGTCCTTATTGCGAGATCCTTTGTACCTACTTCAACACGGACAGATGAGAAGTATTATTAATTCTCATACAATCTGTTATAATGAGGATAAAATTTCGTTGATTCCTTTCTTTTGGAAGAGACGCTGTTCAGACTAAATTGTTTACAGACACTCAATCAACAGAGTTGATTTCAGAGGATAAAAATACTTTTCAGTCGTCATAACTGCAGAAAAGATAATTTAATCCCTAAATTTCAACCATTCACAGGAACTGCGAATAAAACTGGTAGAATCTAGCCTTGTCGAAGAGGATATTTTAGTCTAATTAGAATTTCCACCATATACTTTAAAAAATCCGTTATAATTGTACTTACTACAGCTAATTCAAATGCAGAAATCAACAGTGTATCTAATTTACGATGATAAATGCTGTTAGAACAGAAAAATATGCAGTAACATTTCAGATAATATTTGGTTATTTAGCTGGATACAAAACTTACAGGCATACCAAGTTGCAAAGCCAGTTCTCCAGCTTGAGCTTCTATTTCTAGTTCTCTGAATCGAGATTCACGTATCATTTTAGATGCCATTGGATTACTGATTTTGCCTAAACATACACGGGCAACATCAAGTCGACAAGTTGTGACACACATTCTTGCCATATTCTGTAAAGTAGTGTTTTAGAAACAATTATATAAGTCAAAACAATACTTTAGTTTATAGAAATTTGAGAATTGGGTATATGATATTCATTATATTATAGGTTTTTGTATTTCCCAATGAATGAAAAACAAAACGATATTGCTTTTTAATGACGTTCAGCTATTTGATGCTAATAGCCCTATCAAAGTATTATTAAACCAGAATTTACAAAATCTCAGCTTATATATAACAACTTAATCATCATTCCTCAGCATGGGGTCATTTTTGCGTTGTCGAATTGGCCAGTTGGTAAAGATAACGGAACCAGGTGTATATTGTTGGATTTGATAAGTGTGTAAAATTATAAAAGCAGCGTGTATTTAAATAACGAAATTGCTTATCACATTCGTGTTGATTTTTTCATTTCTTTGGGGAGGCGCGGTTGCTGTAACCAGATCAAATTAGTCCATCGTTCCTATTCAGACAATTTGGATTCCATTTGATATGAAATGCTTCTGATATTAGACGTTCTTTGTGATTTTAGAAACAATACTTTTGTGTAGAAAGTGTAGAAATGAGAATAATTTTAATGTAACAGTTGCATTTAAAATAAACATTTTGTAGTGTCTGTGGATATGTCCCATTAAATGTCTGGATTCATTACAAGGAAGTAAATAAGTGACGAAAACTAACAATGATTAGAGTTTTAAAAGCATATATACGGACATGTGATTATTTTGTATTGTGTTCTAGTCTGTAAAATTTAAGTGAATTTGTTAACTAACTTTGAAACAGAAAGATGTCAGCCGTCGACGTTCTGCTTTTATGATTGTTATTTATGCTACTTGCGAAGGAAAACATATTAAGAAAACGACTTTAGGAAATACGCATTTCTGATAAATTCTCATCAGGCTTTACGTTTGCATAATGAAACATTAGTCATAGACATTTAAAATACTGTGGTTAGAAAAATAAGATCAAAGTTCAACAATGTGAATTAATGAATATCAATCGAGGTGATCATCATCATAATAATGGCAAGGACAAATTCATTCAAATGTTTATAAAATCTAGGCAACGGTGAGTGTAAAGGTAGGATGTGTAGAGTAGTAGTGGTAGAGGGGAAAATAAATTTTGTCACGTAGCAAACAAATGAACAGTTTCATAAGTAAAACGACTGGGCAAGTCCACTGTAGCCATCTGGAGCATTGTTCAACCTGGTTAGGTAAAAGAGTCATAAAGGCAGTCATAAGTTCCGTACTGGCACACGTAGTGGATACGGAACAAAAGATTGATAAAAATTCAGCTTTTACAATTCTGTAAAAGGTGCCACCTCAACTTCGTAGGTTGTAACGTCTTCAGTCGCTAAGCATAGCTCAGGTAATTGCCATAATAATTTTTCAACCCACTCTCTTTGTTCGGAAAAAGTTCGCTCAATCTCTCTGCCTCCTTTGGCCTTCACTCCCTACCTAGAACATTTGTCACTCCCGATGACACCGGATAACCGTAAATATTGTCTTATTACTTTACTTTTATTTGTACTGGTAACTGCATTATCAATATACCGTTGTGGTGTAGTTGTACACTTTAATCTTGGTTTAACAATTTATTATTATTCCATTATCTAGTCGCTGTGCGTCGGTGGCACAGTGGTAGAATGCTCGCCAATCACGCATGTGGTTCAGGTTTCAATCTCCAGCTGACGCGCTCCTTTACCTCGCCGAGTCAGTTATTAGACTGGTAAAGAGGGAAGGTTGGGCATGAGGCTAGCAACCCCATCCCGTAAAAATAAAAACCACTACTACTGAAACTTCAACCCTCTAGCTTGAAGCCCTATGTTCCACTGGGAACGTAAAAGAAAAGAAGACAAATTTTTTTATGTAAACGTAGAATTTGAGAATTTGTCAAAAATATGTATTCGCTTAAATACTGTCCTATAATTATCGTAATGAGACTACTCAAATTATATTATCAAGAGTTCCTTTATAGGTATTTGATGTGTTTCTGGTTTGAATTTCGGCTGATATCAGTTGGAGAACCTCTGAAGACCAGGGGGTACTGAACAACTGTTTCGCCTTAGTTTGGGACTCACTGGTAAAGCACACCCACCGGGTTTCAAACCCAGAAAAGACCGAATTTCTAATTTTTCACGTCAATAGGGCCATTGTCACAAATCAATCAAGTGTGTGTAAATTACTGGGAAGCAGACTGACTAGATGAACGACAGTAATGAGGAACTATTCGAATTTCAGCCACATTTGAATGTAGTTTTCCGTATATGTTGAAATCACTTTCATATAAGTGATTTATCTTGGCTTATTGGTATATTAGTTTAAGTAAGCTACTTAGTAGTGGGACAGAATGCTCGTCAGCCACGCGAGAGATCCGCATTCGTTTCCGGGCTGACGCATTCCTAAACTTCGCCCAGCTGGTGGTATGCCCGGAAATGAGGGAAGTTGAGCGGGATGCCAGCAACTCTACTTCATAAAAATAACACCACGCTACTGAAACTTCGGAGCTACAGCTTGAAACCCTACGCTTCAACTCAGAACGTGAGAAGTGAAAAAAATTAGGGGTAAATTTAGTCATCTCAATGAAGACTAATGACATACTACATGGATCAGTTTATCTGATAATTTATGTTACCAGGAAATGGAAATCGCAGAACGGACATGTCTGTAAGCAGTTATGTCATTATGAGTTCGTTAACACTGATGTCACAAACTTGTATTTCTAAATAAGTCTAAAGTAGATACCAGTTAGCATGTAGTTTTTATAACAACCAAAAGGAAATATGTGACTGACATACCTGCCAAACAGTTGGACTTTTAATCAATTTCATGGCTCGAAATGCTGAGTCCATTTCACCAATTGCTAAATAGTAACTAAAATTGAGCATAGCTTCACGCGTTTTTTCATCAGCATCTTCAAGGCCAACAAAATTTTGCATCACACGTCTATTAACATAATGGATTCTATTATTGGATGTTATTTGACCTTCACTGGGTACATCAGATGTCACTTGATGTTGCCCTTTATCATCTGTAGTGGATGATGTATTTACACTAGAATCAAGATTGTTGATGCCAGTACTCACCGTTGTTGAAAGTCGTCTTGGTGTACTGTCTATCTCACTGATTACACGCCGACCAGATGCTGCTAACATTTCTAAACGTCGTTGGTGTTGTTCATTAAGGACACGATAAACTAAATCACACTGAAATTTAAATAATCCCAATCAGTTTTTATAAAATAATAATACCTTTTGGCATGAAAATAAAGACTGCATTAAGATAATGAAATTACAGTTAATTAGAGGAGTATTTAAATCGTTATGCCACTTGTCAAACATAATACGACTGAGTCCAGAAGAAGTTGTAATCTCACTGAATTAAATATATTTACTCATTGGTACAGAATGAAAATCAGTTGATATATTTTGAGAGATTATATCATTAATTTCATTGCTTTGTATTTCCTAAAATTGACTTCCACTGTACTGTTCTTGCGTCTATTTCAGTTAGTAAGACTGTTAACTGATGGTATCAAGTTCTTTGTTTTCTATGTCAGCGTTAGAAGTCGATTACTGTTAAAATAATATTCTGTTAAGACGTTAAACTAATTAGTTCTTGAAAGCAGAGCTCAAGCACTGTACGTTTACATTTTATAAATAAACTAAATAAAATTATCGTGGAAAAAAGTTTAACACAGTGACTGAAATGCTTGTGTCTACTATACTTTGCTCAACAATACACTACACTATAAAACAGAAAAGCAGCGTCTCACTTCATGCTTTCTGTTAGTTCAAACGTGCGTCAAATTATCATTGTAACACATGGCGTATTTACAGGAATTATTGAGACAAATACTTTGTGATATTTTCACACTTTCAGTTAATAGTGAGTTGTATCGAAATCGATAGAGATTAGAAATAATGAGTCATCAGATTTCAAACCGTGGTTGTGTACATGATGTCGTAGGGGAGCACAGTTAAGGACACTAAAACTAGGACAAAACGACTCTTCAATCCTATAGGATGGAAATTACTTTGATTTTACAAATTAGTCAGCAAATTAATGTGAGAAGGCAAAGATTGTGCAACACATTTGTGTCTGAGCAGTTATAGCTGTGCATAAATATAATAACCTTTCCTTCTACATGCAGTTACCGATGATTCACTTTTGCAATAAACCATCCTTTATGATAATTTCTGTTTTAATGTCGAAGCTGAATATTTCCCGTAATAGTCTGCAGTTATCGTTGTATTTTCTTATGATATTTTGTGGTAAGGTAGTCCTGATGACATTTTTGATCTTGCTGTCAAGGAATTATCTGGTGATGATATAATATAACACACAAAAATACATAACCAATCGAGGCTTGATTATTTAAGTTTTGTGACTCATTTTTCATTCGATAATAGTGCTACATGACCAAATCAAATAAAAGAAAACTGGTCTGGATGAACATCCAGTGACGCATTATATTTCTCTGGCCATACCTTTGAACTGTTCATTTCATCAAGAATTATATTATTTATGTCATTAAATATCAATTTAATATTTCAAATGATAATGATAAACATACACGGACGGAAAAGTAGATCAACGGTACTTCAACACCAATCAAAGCACTGTGCAAAACTGACATTAAAAATGATCCTTGAACTATGGTGTTATTTTGTTCTGGGCTGACAAATAATGAAACTATTGATGTGAGAACTTTGGATTGCTAAAATGAAAATTAAAAGAAAGTCGATTACTAACGAGAAATAATAATAATGATGCAAATTAACAAGCAATCAAGACAAAGGCTGTCACGAGAGATAGTATTATATCATCCATGAAGAATTCGAACAGGTGCACTTCATACTGAAGTTTGTGCTGAAGATGTTGTCTTGAAGAAAGGTGAAAGATTCACAACTAAACCAACCAGCTCAAAGAACGCAGCTATATCAAAAAAAATGAAGAGGAAATCAGTTGACACCTATGCATGTGCGCGTCAGGAGACATGAGAAAAACAATACAAAAATTTAACGTTATAAAATAGACAATCATTTGATGAGAATAAGGAGGATGATTGTTCCATGTTCTCAGTTGTTTCATTATTGGCCATTGTGCGTGTAGATAATCACAAATATAACTCCGATATGGAGAATTTCATTTTGCAACAAGTACGAGAATTTTTAAAAACTGGCCTTTAGATGAAACTGTAGGCAACAGACTGGTACAAAAAGATTCAATATGCAATCTGCTTCAGAAGAAAGCAACCAACAGTACAATACTACATCGAATGATAACAAAAACACGACCGAAGATAAACGGTATTTTGCCAGGCTATTCAAACACATTAGAATAAATGTGTCCGAGTACCAGTTCACTTATAATCTTATGTCTTTTGAATAACTTAACAAAGTACCGTTTAATTTCAGTCCTAAAACATCCATAAACAGTCAGCTTAACACATGAAAAATGATTTTTTTCAGTACTAATCAACAGAATTCAGAGTTGAATGCCTCAGTGTGACGCAAAATTTGCTGTTCTACTAACAAAAACAAGAAACTAAAAGAGTTTTGAAACACCAATCAAATATTCTTGTGAATTCGCCTCACTTCTCAATAAAATTGGTGCTGATGGTGTTTGCAACCATCAAGATGAAAGTTTCGCTATCAAATATCAAAACTCAGAGAAAAACTGAAAGTTTGGTCTATTTATCATGTTAATTTATCATAAATCCAAAACGGGTAGATTATTAGAAGTTTACAATATGAAGCGAAGTCATATCACTTCACAAGCACACACTAACCGCAAATCACCTGATTTTAAAAAAAGTTACAAAAAAATAAACATTAAGGGACACGATATTGCAGTGACGTCACACAGGTGTTTTGAATTAAAAAATTCAAAGGCGGCAGTAATGGCTTAGTGGACATCTCAATTTTTAGCTGAAATCCTTGTCGATATATGTGTGACGACATTTTACGGGTCCAGGAAATGTAAATAAAGGGTGGGCAAATGCGAGAAAACAGCACGTAATACTAACTGAGGGGCCATGTAACACATGCATATATATATTTACTGGAGGTATCATTCAACATACAACATATCTTCTTTATAACCATTTGTGACAGTCAAAAGATACTCCATCAGGATTTTGAAAAGCAAATATTGCATAGTCAGCGTCCTCAGCAGAGCCTGTAGTCACGTATATTAACTAATAACTGGTTGTTTGCCTTTACTTTTGTGTCTCATTGGTTCAGGCTCTATCTTTTACAGTAATTCATTACCAACAGGTTGCACTTTTATCAACAGCTGCCTTCGCTCCATACTGAAAATCAAATGGCCAGAAAGAATTAACAACAGGAAACTCTGGGAACGAACTAACCAAGAACATATTGTTCAACAAATATCCCGAAGAAAATGGAGATGGATAGGACACACACTAAGGAGACTGTCGAATGACATTACGCCATATGCCCTGAAGTGGAGCCCTAATGGAAGACGACGAACTGAGTGTCCGAAAGTGACATGAAGGAGGAGCTGAGAGACTATGGACAATCGTGGGTCCACCTCAAGAGGACCGCAGAGGGTAGGAAAAAGTACAGAAGCGCTATATTCCACTCATAACCTAAGGGGACTGTAACAGTATTATTTTTAATATAATAACGGATTTTTGGATATGGAGACTAGAGGTTTAATTTATAGTCTTGTTAACACAGCTGGAGATGATTTTACGAGTTTGACCAGCATAACCTACCTTGTTACTACATGAACTTCAGACGTATTGAATGATTAGCGAACTGATGTCAAAAATTAATTAATGATAAGACCCCTTACATACCGACAAACAATTATTGGATTAGTCGTAATTCATTTCTCATTTTGGTTATAATTCCTGTATACAGAACGTAAGAAGAAGAATATCAGCAACATTCTGGATATTCAAGATATAATATAAAATTATTATAAAGTTATACATACTTCGTATTGACTTTTAGAAGCAATTTCTGGCGTGATAGATGCCACTTTGCTAGATGATCGACTTCCGGCGGAAGTATACTGATCAGTATCATTTTCTGCTGTATAAATAACATCGCCACACTGTTTATTCATTTTATCAACTGCGTTCAGCCTGGATGTAATGATTGGATGATCATCAGGGATCGGTGAAGCTTCAACAACCAGTAGACGTGATTCAAACTGATCCCAATAATGGTGTTTTGGCCATCTGCCTTGGATAAGATTTGTACTGTTCAATCGAATCAAATCTAAACTCGTAGGATGCAGATCACTTTCATTAACACTTACTAAAGTGGACAAATGTAGTCGAAAAAAATCATTTGAAAGCATTTAATCGAATATATACTCAGAATTATAAATAAATCAAAATATCTTGTTTAAGTGAAACAAAAAAATCTTGATAAAGTAATGAGACCCTTGAACTCCCAATAACTCAGTTCACACTGGTATTTGAACAAGAATCAGTATCTAGAAAAAAGAAATCATGGGTGGATTTATAGTCTCGTTTGACAAGCTTGGTAACACTTAATTTTAAAGGTAGTCAATAAAACGGAAATTTTCGCTTTCAGAAGAGAATTTTGGATAAATATTTATTTTGATATATGTATACATGGTTAACAGAAAGCGTCAGCCTTAACTTCATTAGGCAGTTTTCATTCAAATCATTATTATTACTAATGCCTACTGATTCTTATTTTCCAAATTGTCTGGTGTATTAAACACCTTTCTAACCTAGGAAATTGCGTACATTTCAAAGAGCTGATAGTCAATCAAGTCACATTACGGAAACTGAAAAATTTATGAGTCGTTGAGAACTGTGGCCATGTATGCTGTTGCGAAGACATCAAAGATAGATTTCACTCAGCATAAATGCACCCTGCTCCGTGACAATAAAAGCTGATTATTGTGAACAAAACAAATAAAAAGAGACCGGGGATTTTACTTCAGCTGTATGCATAACATGGCATTTTAGAAGGACTGAAAATAATTAGTGGAATTATTTTTGGGCTTTCAATTAACTGATTTTGTGCATCGGTGGCACAGCGGTTAGGACGCTTGCCAACCATGCACGTGGGCAGGGATTCGATCCCTGGCCGACGCACTCCTTTATCTCTCTAAGCCAGTAATAAAAGCTGCCAAAAAGGAAAGGTTGGGCATGCGTCTAGCAACTCTATCCCGTAAAAATGAAGATCACTGCTATGGAAACTTGAACCCTCTAGCTATAAGCCCTATGTTCCACTAGAAACGTGAAGGAATAAAAGAAAATTAGCTGATTTTATTGGCTTCTATTACCGACACTCTGGTAACAGCGTGATCGGTGGTGGCCATTTGGTGGAATGTAGGATGAGCGTTTCGGTCTATTTAGAGCTTGTCAGATGAATGTACCTACATTTCCATTAAGCGATGAGTCTATATGAGGATTTCAACACAACACCATGTGTTTCAAATGCCAGAATGTCTCCTGAATTGCATTACTAGCTGCTACCAACCAAATAACAGTCACATGTATATTAACAGTTAATTAAATTTGTCAAAACTGAGAAACTTCATCAGCCATAATGGTAAAGTTATATGACTAGCTATATTCATCAGGAATGAATTTTTCTGGAAACAAACTAACAGCAATCAGATTAATAAAAGACACAAAGTCATAAATTCAGAAAATACTGTTTGAAATTCCATGGGGTAGTGTTGGCGTTCATAAGACAAGAATAGATGACTGAAGACTCCAAGTGATACAGCTGAAAATCATTCATAATTTCACACTGACTTGTGTACTATTTTTAATAGGCAGATGCTTTGACGCTCATATATGTATGAATCATTAGGATCATGTGATAAACTCAAGTATTCTTTTGGTTGTGCAAGTGCTGGTTAGAATTTATTGTAGTATGTAGAAAAATAGCATTGCATTAGAATCTTGTGGTTCACCTTGACTCTCTACATCGAGTCTGAGGGATTTGGCTACTCAGGTTCTTCAATGGACTTTAAAGTAGAAATCAGTGGTGAGCATAACTCAGTTTCCTAATTTTTTCTAATTCGAAAACAATAGAACAGTAATGAAGGCTATTTAGAATGCCCGACGGATTTTATTCCGTTGAACCCCAACTATCTCATTCTCTTTACTTGTTGTTACTGTCGTTTGATTCTTCTGTGTAACACACTCGTTGGTGCCTATACTGTATTCCACTTGTGTTCAAATACATAACAATAAACATCGGATGATGATTTCTGTCGTCTGGAGTAAGACTCGTCATCAGTGTACATACAACACTACAACTGAACTGCGTCTTTAATCTGTTATAAAATGAAGTAAGCGCAGGTAACATAATTCAGTTAGTAGAATATTTTTTTTGTTCCTTCACGTTCCCCAGTGTAACATATGGCTTCAAGCTAGTGGCTTGAAGTTCTGTAGCAGTGTTTATTTTACAGGATGGGGTTGCTAGCCTCATACCCAACCTTTAATCTCGCCAGCATTATTTCTGGCTTAGTGAGGTAAAGGAGTGCGCCGGCCGGGGATCGAACCCCAGTCCATGTGCATGGTCAGCGAGCGTCCTAACCGCTATGCCACCGACGCAATACTGGAATATAATCATCTCTTTTCTAAACAAAATCTATCAAAAATACTGCAAATATCCCATGCATACAAAAAACATACAATAAAAATACTTACATGTTCCAGGAATTGTACTGAGTGAATTCGAAATTGCTTCAAAGAAATTAAAACACTTCAATTTGTCTACATCTAAATGATAAATAAAAATGTTTGGATCTGGAATCCATTGTTTTAATGCATCCTCCTCGTTTATAACACTTCTAGATTTCTCTCGAAAACACTGTTCATTCATTTTGTTTGACTCTGATTCGATCAGAGTATCTGATGACTGGTCTGCTGCATCTAAGCATGGCCATAATAAATTGCATAGTATTCCATCTCGGAGAATTTCTACTGTAAACGCTAATGTACCACCAGACTTATTGATTGAAATCCAAGATATGTTCAATTCACGCATAACAGCATCGTTTGGATTCTGTAGTAATGACAGATTTTTTTGAAACGTTTTTGTAGAGCATAACGAAGATGTAGTTGAATTCTGTGATATCTGATTTAATATTTCGCACACAACTAACTTTGTTAGTGATTTTGATGTATCTGTAGACTTGACTTCTCTATAGTAAAAGATAAGTAAATTACGGGAAATAAGTTGAGAATGAGAAGTTAATCACTTATTTGTAGGTAGACGGTAAATGCAACTAATTAAACTGAAGAATAGTGTCAAGATAAATTGTCACTTAAAGAACCAATGAGTACCCCGAAATCATGGAACGTCCTGTGTGGATGCGTATTACTGAAGAATCTCAAACTAGGACGAAACAGCTGTTCAGTACTTCCAGGTTTCCCAGTGGTTCGCTAGCCGATAACAGCTCACGATGAAATCTTCTAACCAATCAAACCCATGCAAATCAAAGCTTGAAAAAAACTTAAATTAGAAAGAACGTCTTATAGCAGAGGCAGTTGACATAAAATTGAATCTGATGTGCCTAAAGGGGAATTTGGGGTCACAACAAAATTTCATCTGAATTCAGCAACCTACTTCTTCAATGTATCATTGTCAGAGATAAGAACTTTCATCGCATAAATACCTGTCGCTACAACAATTTGCACACTTATCGATTCTAACAATCTGAATATGCCTGTTGTCATTATCAATAAAGCAGAATTACTTCGTACAGAAGAAATCTGATCCAGTTATAAGCCAAGATTTTGTAAAACCTAGTTTGCTGCTATTTTGATAAGGCTGGTGGTATTAAATGGAGAGCTGTCAGTAAAAGAAGTAACGTTATTTCGTTTTCCAATCACCAGGAAACACAAATGAACATATGACGGTGAAGCGAGTAGTTAAGTGGGATTTACAAATTAAGTAAATCTGGCTGAAGTCTCCTGGGGAAATTTGGATACTTGATCGAAAATGATGATGCCTGGCTTCCCACAAGGATTACTTTCTAGACCTCAGTTTTCTAAAATAACGACTGATTAGGTTTTGTAAGTAATTAACAGCAAGTCTATGTATAAACAGAAAGCATGATGTAAAATTTAGCTGGAAATTTATAAAGCCACACTTCAAATCATTACAAAGGAAATCTTTGAATGGAAATACAATGATTTTTTCAATTAATAAGAGGATATGAAGGGTATATTTGCATGATGCAGTTCAGAATGGCGTATTGAGCCTATCTTCACCTCGAATAACGTATTATTGTTCTCTGGGTAACTAAAGCATGTCAGGTATTAATTGTTTCAGAAACAGTTACTGAATTGAGAGAAGACTTACATGCACTACTTATATTTTCCCTTCGTAATGATATATGAAAACGACTGTATCTCTGTCTTTTTTATGCACCGATAAATAGTTCAGTAGAACTAAACTGTTATCTTGAATATTTGTCATATTAACACAACATTTTTAGAAAGTTTACGTAATGGTATTACGGCTAGATTTTAAATGAAAACTTGAGTCATTTTACTGAACAATTTGCTAATTAACTTGCAGTTTACACAGTTCGAGGTGAAATTTCGCCACAGTTCCCTTTAGAGACCAAAATTATTTAGATTATATTGTACCCAAGTAGCTAGATAAAATCTGATGTGTGGTCTAAAAGATACTTATTTGTCTTTCCCTCATCCGCATGACAGCAACGCAGACTTATGGACCATTGAAGTTAAGCTCTTTATAAGCTTAACAAATAATAAAATAACATTAATACTAAAACTTTTAAAATGAATAATCAATGTCAAAAGTTTTAGTTTACCTTCTACTTAGGTCCAACACTCGTATTTTATTCTGATCCGTTAAGCATGCCATGTAATTAGCACACTGAGACGTCAGAGCTATACTGCCCTCTGTTTCGGTGAAATTAATCAACTGTTTAACACAACCCTAAGGAAATAAAACAGAACAAGATGGAAAAGTTGTTTTACATAATTCTGAGATATACTTAAGAGCTTTACATTAAGTAATTATCCCTTACGGAAAGCTGGTATCAATTTTCTAGGTTTTAAAAAACCATAAACTATATAAACAGATATTTGTGGTGAAACAAGGTGTCGATTGTGAAAATCTCTTTAAAATGCCCCACTTTTCAGTAGTAGTGGAGTGCAATAAAACCAATTATATTTCTAATAGTTTTATAAGGAATCACTCCATTCGATACAGCGTACAGAAATTATTGTTTATTGGAGACGTTCCGAGAATAGTTTGTTATTCATAATCGTTTCCATTCGATGTGACTATGAGTACCACCTCCATTAAAAATGTTGAGACACTAATTACTTTCTCCTGAATATGTTAGTATTTTGAACCATATTCTACACATAACAGTAGATGCATAGCAAACACTTAATACAATTTTCCTTTTGTCTCATATACCTGTCTACTGTCTCTATTTTGCTTTTCTCCTACTTTCTTCTCTTGCTTTGTGTGCTACACAGAGTGTGGCGACTTGAACTGCTGCCCATTAATGCAAAGTTCTATATTGAAAACAGACAATGATCTTGACATTGAAAGACTGTCAAAATCTTGGAACAAAATCAGTCAGTATAATTAGTTAAGCGTAGAAAGACCCGACAAGTTAATCTCATAAAGTTGCTTTTTTTAAATTTTACATTAATAAGTACGCTGTAGCAAAGAACCACCTGGTAAATGTGACAAAGTAGATGTTATTTTGTAATGGGCAGTTCAACGCTATTTTGTCAGAATGAAAATATCATATTCAGTCGAGATACTCATATGATGAGGTCTACTGAGTGAATCTGCCACAAGAATTCAGGTCAAGACAATTAGCGGAGACAGACAAACTAATAATTCGGAAGGCAACTGTTCAAAAATAATAAACAAAGATAAGTCGATGAACTGACAGGAGGATAACATCCTATCAGCAGTCAAATAGGCTGAATACATTAATATCAGTTTTCACAAAGAAAGTGCTATATATACATAGATATATATATATAATACCATATTTATAAAAAATACACTCTAGTGAAGACTGAGAAACTCACCTCCAAATTACGGACCTGTAGTTTATATGGTTCAATTGTAAATATACTTTGCTGATGCATACCAACAAATCTGAATTCACACGCAAAACTAACTGCAAGTTGAAATTAGTGACAAACAGAATAATGATTACCTCATATTAACTAATAATCAAATAAAAACAAAACGACCGTTTGTTAACAGTTCTGTCAGAAATGTTTAAGAGAATTATTGAAATAAACTTTTTGAATAAGACAAAAAAAATAAATACCATTTAGATTTTCAAGAGTTGGATTGTAAGGATTAGATTTGTTTTTACCAGTTTTGACCATGGATTGATATCAGTTAGAGAACCATTGAAAACCAGGAGGGTGTAGTTGACAGCTGTTTAATCCTAGCTTGGGAATTATCTACAGCACGCACCCACTGGGGTCCGAACGCAGGTCAAACTCGTAAAAATTATTTGGGTTGGCAAGCATGCTTCCTAAAGCATATCAAAACTTTTGGCATCTGTCATTCTGCATTCATTCACGAGCTTATCAATCATGCATCGGAAGAGACTGAATTTGTACAGTTTCAGTGTTTATAGACGAAAATCTTGATTTTTTTAAGTTAGTAACAACAAGATAGTTGAAAAATATCTCCAGAGGTTGTGAATATCAAATGATATTCAGCAGTAACTGTTTCATGTAGGCTTAAACCTCTACAAAAGCTTACACAGTCAATTCATGTAGAATCGAAACTTCAACTACCAGGTCTTTCGTGGAGTATATTATGAATGTGTGTCGGTGGCACAGCGGTTAGGACTCTCTCCCACAATACACATGGTCCGGGGTTCGATCCCCTGCCGACGCACACCTGATATGAATGGTCGGCCTGGAAAATTAGGCTACCGATATGACATGTTGAAAATTCCATACTTATACCGAAAATTGGGTGTGGAATCAAGCTATAATAAATAAAAAAATTTTAAAAAAAGAATTCGTTTGAGATTTAGAACATGTATATTCGCATGTCTTCAATGAAGCCGTATTACCATTCAGTAAACACATTAGCCAGTAGTACACTTTACGGGGACTTGAATAATATCATTGGAAAGTTAGAAAAAAACTCGTATATATATAGTAACTTTTTCCTATGAGAGAATCATGTTAGTCTGTCAGAAGTATCCATTGCTTCAAACTGACTGTAATTGATTTTTACTATGAACCAAGTGACAACATGGTTTCACCAGAAAATTTAATGCTGAAAGAACTAATGGTTGTATTTTCAGATAGTTTACCCTCGTAAATCACAGTTATCTAGTGCCTCTTTGTGTTTAATATTTCTTCAGTTGGCCTTAATGTATAATGAAATATCATGATCTGACCAGTTGATAACTCTTGAATATTGATGATTGGGAGTAGTACAAGTTCTCAGTTTACATTCAAATGTTTTCCCTACTTCTCTAAACTAGAAAGTGATAAATTGAAATTTTATGGAGGGTTATTTGAAATAGGCACCAATTTGTATCACGTGACTATGTTACGTGAAATCTAACTGTTGGGTGAACATTTCTGTACGGGTCATAATAAAACCAGTAAACAGGGAATAACTGTCCACTTTTGATGAAATACATAATATGATGCAGTTCAACAATAAAAATTAATCTCAGTCCTACTACAACTTCAGCTTTTCTGCAAAAATAGGTGGTATAAAATAAATTTGTATTGTGAACGAAAAAAAATATGGAAATTCATTATATTTATACACCTGATTTAAATGATAACTTTATTAAGTTTCAAAGACTAATAAAAAGTCATGCTTATTTCAGACTTACCCAGATGAGTAATACAATTTCCTGTGGAATGTTTGAAAACAGATATACGATGACCATTCCAGTATGCAACATGTTCCTTAAATGAAAAAAGCAAACATACATTTACCTATTCAGTTTTATATGGTACCGTCACAGCATTAAGGGGAAGAGAGGGTCAATAAAATTGAATAATAGACGGTCAGAAAAGGTAAGTATAGACAAATAATGATAACTATTTAAAACATATGTCAGAATCCTCGATTGTTTTACTGTCGACAGTCACGCAAATAATAATTTATTCTTATTTAAATATTAGTAGCAAAACACTAATAACAATAAAACAATAATTAATACAAGCTAAGAAGAAAACAAACACTAGGCAGCTTTTTTTATTCCTTCGCGTTCCGAATGAAACATACAGCTTCAAGCTTCAGTAACTGTGGTGTTTAGTTTCTGTATGATAGAGTTGATGGCCTCACGTCTTCCCTTCTTTTTTTACCAGTCTTACTACCGGCTAAGACAGGGGAAGGAACAAAATGACAGTTTTCAGATTTTCAAGTGTTGGTTTGTAGGGACTTGATTGGTTACAGGATTTTCATCATGAGCTGACATTAGTTAGAGAACCATTGGAAAACCTGGGAGTACTGGACAGCTGTTTCGTCCTAGTTTGGGACTCTTAAGCAGTACGCACCTACCGGGATTCGAACCCGGGACCTTCTGGTTACAAGGCGAGCTCGTATACCATTAAGCCACTGGGACCCCATCCAATGGTCCATGAATTCTAACTTCTGCCAATTCACGACATAGCGCGACCCCTAGCCAGTGTCTTCGGCGAGTATTTGTCCTCACGCCCGACCTGCTGCACCCTACTGGTCACGATTGTTTTTACACTGAATCTTGGCTTCACTCTGTTGAAGAATATCAAGTTGCTGAATGCGTCATCCAGTAGTTTCCCAGCTCTACAGATTTGTGATGAAATCTACACTGAGGTAAATGAACTAGTGATTTTCCAAATAGATTTATTCAGTAGATTAACTGCGGCAACAATAACATGCTGAAACCGAGTAAGCACCACAGTGATTATGTAATATTCCTTGGGATTAGATTGCACAAAACTCGAAATTATAGACAGATATTTAGTAGATGTATGTGTGAAACTCATTTTATCAAGTTTTTTTGCAAGCTCAACTAACTCAGTTCTTTTCCGAAGACATACATATTGCATAACAACCTACACTTGACTCAACAGACAGACTGGTCATTACGAGAATAGATACAATATCACACATTAAAACACAAAATCATAAGGAAGAATACGAATGTTTTCGGTAGAAACAAATGCAAAGTATTATGGTGCTCGACCCATAATTTAGCCCATATCTAATATAATCAAAGTTTCTACCATTATCTAAAGTGACATTTAAGTATATAGTTTAAACAGATTCCTTTGCATTATAAACAGACTCTAGGTGGGCTCCAGAAGCTGCTGACTTTTCGAAGGCAATCATAAACACATTGTAAAATTCTTTACATTTAAACAGACCTGTGTGCAGAATATAGCCTTAATTTGATCCTCAACTTGTGCTTCATGTTCATATAGTGTAGCTTTCTTTTGATCAATTAAGAACTTTGAATTTTGTTTCTTACTTTTGTCTACCATTATTGGTGTTGAAGTAGTAATAAAAGAAGCTGGAAGATTATTAAGATTGGCAATTTTAGTTGTATTAACACTTCCTTTATTAATTTCAGTATTATCAAGTATAGACGGTAAATTATTCGATACACTCATTGGTGACGCTGGCGTCATTGTATCGGGTATTGAAGTAAGCATTGAGAATGACTGTGAACCTGTTTGAACAACAACACATCCACTTCCATAGAAATGTGTGCATAAAGATTGTCTTTGTAGAATATGTACAGAAGACTTGACCTGTATGCCTGCAAATATTAAACAGACATTGTAAAAGATATCTACCTGAAAAGTATGCGTTTATCAGTAAATGAAATTGAATAAGATATGCACAAATATTGACAAATTTAACGACTTTATTCCAAAGACACTAAACTTCTAAGTGCTTTATAAATATAAAGTAAGCTGTCCCTACAATTAGGTTTTTTTGACTTGAAGATCGAGAATACCTGTCATTCTTTTACTTACGCGAAAAAGTCGTATGTCTACATATACTTCAACTGAATAAGAAGGGAAAAAACACAGCTCGACCAACTGGTTTTCTGAATGCTTTCACTTGCCATCCTATTCCACCCTTGAATTGAGTGATCTACCAGATTCCAGTAGAGTAAAGTTTATGTTTTCTGTGCTCTGACATTTCAGTAGCTATGACTGTTTCCTGCGGAGTAGAATCACTTGCCCTATAGTCAACTTTCCCTCCTTTCCGGACTGACCAACTACAGACACCAATCACCATCAGCAGGAGAAATCTAAAAGAAGTCATCTGCTTTACTTATTTGGGTAGCGACTACGGGTGGCGCGGACGAAGATGTCAAAACCAACCAGGATCAGATAAGGAAAGCGAGACAGGAGTTCATTACCCTGAAGTTAGTGTGCTCTACAGAACTTAGCATGATGAACAAATTCGAATTTCCAGTCAAATAAGTGCTTCTAACCACTTCAGAGACGGAGCGTGAGGAAAAGCGTTTACGATAGGCTACCGTAGGCATTCATCAACAGATGCACTGTATATATACTGAAGGTCAGATGGTCAACCAGAAAGAAATACAAAAAAGGAACCTAAGCAGACATCGAACCAGCCAACAACCTATTACCCAACAAATATGTGCAAGGACATGGAGGTAGATTGAACACAAGCTAAGAAGACACTCAAGTGACAGTATTTCGGTAAGTGTAAACAGTTATATCTACACAATTAATTTTTAAGTAATGCAGACTTATTGAAAGAGAATACAAATGTATAAATTGGTTGAGAACACTATAACTGTTTTAGTGTAAATGATATAAAATTGATAAGCTATAACTGTTTTCATTATGTGCTGCATAATTATAACATTTCTCGGAAGCAATTCTGGCATTTCTTAAATACATATTCGAAAGTGAAATTTTATTGCAACTTTATTTCGAAACTTCGACTTTTCACATCAAAATATGTACAGGCTGGCAGAAATTTGGACGTTTTGGACTATTTATCCTTTTAAGATACATCAAACCTTTCATGCCTGATAAGCTCAAATGAAAACGGGCAAAATCACCGTTGTATTCAGATAATCTTTAACTAGCTGCATCTGGATATCAGTAAGTGTGACATGTTTGCAGCTGTTCATGTCATGTAATAGTATCCGTTACTATTATTTTGTAAGACAGATGCCTTTATTAAAAGTCATTAAATTGAATACCATAGTTAAGCGATAGTGTCCACTAGAGACATAAGGATCACATAAGGTTTGCATAAAACTAATGGAGTATATCACATTATGTATAATCAAAGGTAGAAAAATGTATACACATCAGGAAAACTGTAAACGTTTAACAATGATCAGCAATTAAACCTTTGATACTACTTTTTGGTAATCTACATAATATTTTACGAAAATTCACAGTTGTCTCGTATTATTGAGAAGGTGTAATTCATTCATTTATACATTTGATTTTCACTCAAAATATGCCTTACCTACATTTTACTGAACAGTCGGTTAGTATTATATTCGCACAATAATAACTTGTGCTCCTGCATCAACATCATAAACCAGTGACTTAAAGAGTACAGGAAGTATTTGTGTTTAACGAGTAATAATTTAGCAGAAATGCATTCTGGAAACTTCGAAAGCAGTTGCATACGGAAAATGAAAATAAACAAGTAAGCACTCTGAGACGTGGGATATTGCATTGACCCTGACTGATTCATTGCAAGCTGTCACACTTCAAAACAGGTGGAAAAATAATTACTTTGAAGGCATCGTTTCAACTGCAGGTGGAACTGACGAGGATATCAAAGCGAGGATCGGGAAAACAAGTCAAATTTTCATCTCTCTCAAGTCTGTGTGGATGTCAACAGAACTCAGCATGAAAAATAACATCCGGACTTTCAACTCCAATGTGGAGTCAGTGCTACTATACTGACCAGGGACTTGGCGCATTCTAAAGGGCACTTCAAACAGACTACAGGATTTCATCAACAGCTGTCTTTGCTCAGTACTCAAGATCAGATGGCCGGCCAGAAAAGATGAGCAACAGGAGTTTCTGGGAGCGAACCAACCCAGCAGGAACAGATTGTGTGACAAATATGCAGGAAGAAATGGAGGTGGATTGGCCATACTCTGAGAAAACCATCGAGTGGTATCACTCGCCAGCCTCTCGAGTGGAACCCAAATGGGAAGTCGCTAGTTGGTCACCAATGCGAGGGTGACAAGGAGGAGGTCATATGAAGAGGAGATGAAAGCATGTGAGCAAAGGTGGAGCAGGTGAAAAAGTTGGCAGAGAACCGTGCGGCTGAGGCCCTACGTTCCTCTAGGAATTAAAGGAAACAATAATAATAAGTATTTTGTGATATGTTTTTGTGTGATACTACCCAGTTATGGTACATGGTTCACAACAAAGACTCATAAGCTGAAATTCAGGTATATATTCCAATTAGGAGAGCACTATCTTGGTAGTGTGAGGACAAAGATGTACTTTCGTAAAATTGGGGTATTTCTTTCAGACGAACAACAACCTTGCTATGCTGCTTCTGCTCTCCGTAGAGAGTGATTAGAACAGATAGACGGCAAAAGTTGTACATCCCGAATTACACTGCCGAGGTCCAAAGCTGGCGACAAGATGCATATACCAACACAAATCTAAAAACTAAATTCGGTTTCAGCTCAGCTAATGAAATTGTTTAAGTTGGTTTGCATAGAAGAACAGAAGCAATTTCGTATGCAGCAGACTTAAAGTTCATTTCAGTAAAAAATATCTTTGATATTAGTCTTGCCAATAGTAATCAGCTAATAATTCATGCACTACTGAAGACTGCCAAGACATTTATGTCTGCTCAGTTATAGCAGAGCTACTAAAGCCTAGAATGAAGTGAAGTATAAAACATCTTCAATTGGTCGATGGTTATGTCATGGAGTGTTATGATAATAACTGAGAGTTCAAATGTTTACAAAATAATGAAAATTTCTGACATGTTTGAAAGCGAACAGAATGACATTTAAATATGAGGCGTCCTTAACTTGTTAACTGATTTTAAATGCTTAAATAAAAAATAAGAGTCAATTAAAAATTGTGGCATAAGCAGAATGCATATAAATGAGTTTAATACGTACTATGATTGTAAGTTGTTTTTTCATTTGAATGATGAGGTAAAAGAGCAACGGCCAACTTTTTCTCTCGCTCACCCCACGTGAGCAAAGATATACTTCGGTTCGGATCAATTGGTAATGAGGCAAATTCGCTATTCTGTTGGTTCGTTAAAATAGCACTGGGCTGAGGATGCCAGTTAGCCTCCGGTGCCTTTTCAGTTACATTACTTGTGCAGTTGTATAGTGTGGAGATATCCTGTCGATTGTCACAACTTTGAGTCAAGTTTGAATCCGAATGTAGTAGATGAGATAGGTCGTCGTGTGAATTCAATTCTGTGCCGTACTGCCAAAATGCAACCATGCCATTGCTCAAACCTGCAGCTAGGACTCCTTGAATAAATACAAGAATAATGGAAGCTTATGTTGACGGGAAATATCAAGACAAAAGTGTTACTTGTCTAATATTTACCAGAATAGCATTTTACATTAATATTCTGAAATGGTTTTCTTATTACCATTTCTGTGTTCACATAAGACGTAATATTTCATAAGCTCACATGAATAAAAATTCTTAGAAATAAATTTCTGACCCAAAAGAATCACTGTTATGAAAGAAAAGTACTGAATTACTTAAGCTGTGCATTGTAGAAAGCAGTGAAACACATTAATCGTTTTACTTCACCTGAAATCAAAAGTAATTTATTAAAGTGGGGCAAAAAACATATGTATTAACTCTTAGCTCTGTGGGGAAAAGCGCTAAGTAAGTAGATATGTCGGGAATTTATGTTTAGGTTTACATCTAGACATTTATTATGAAATGTTATACAAGCCGTGGTAGTACATGAGTATTAAAGCAGTTAACTTACGATAGGTCTCTGAGTATGCTACTTGTAGAACCTTTACACTCTTCTTTGATTTCTCAAGATGAGATACATTCGGAGTTAGGGTATAATTATCAGACCTCTCAATGTCCCAAAGTCTGACAACAGTTTCTCCCAAGCCCATAGCAAGGGTAGCTTCACCTGCCCAAGTAATGGAAGGTTGGTGGCACAATCCTGAAGACAGTTTCATCTACAAAGCATTAAAGATGTGACATTTATTGTGATAAAAGACATCTAGAACACCTTATAAAACATTAATTTTCAACAGCAATAAAACTGAATCTGAACTTCCTGAAACATCAACGCAAAAACTTGTCTAGGTATATATACTCATAAGTTTCAACACTTCTAATCAGCAGAGAAAAATAAACCAGACCGAAATACAGCAGCACCGAGTACACTACTAAGAATTTTTATTGAATAAAGAATTAATAGATCAGCTCCAATGAAAACATTCAAACTTTTGACGAGAAGGTCAGAATATGTCATTCGTGTTGTGATCTGTTTACCATCACTTCTGGGACGTCTCTAACAGTCAGTCAGTACTATATGAATCAGATGAACTAACTAACTGAAGATTCAGACTTTCTAACCCTGTGGATTTACTTACACATGAAAAATGCTGCAAAGATAATAACCAAACAGTTGTAATCTTTTAGTGACTTCTTACCTTAGAAGTCTTACAGTAAAGGTTGTTAATAATAGGGGGTTCAATATTTCGCCTTTATCAGAGTCGATGCCACTGGCTTCTGTGATAACTATGAAATGTTATCAACGAGTAGTATCATAGGGTAAATATAGGTCACAGAACATGTGAAGTACTTGATAAATTGGGACAAATTCACAGCAGTATATATCTAGCTAACTATGGACGGAAAGTTAAAACTAAAAATACTAAAGACTGAAGACCCTGAGAATCGTCTATGGTCGAAAAACATTGTCCATAACGTGAATATTAATATTAATAAAAACTTCTTTGTAGTAGGATAGCATGTTTCTACACAAGGTAGGCAAAATGATCCAAGAAAAGTCGGCAGTATAAGAAACCGATAGGCAGAAGAAACCAATTAGAATTCTATCATTAAAAACCTTTAACAACCAAAGAACAAGCCAAAGAATAAACATTCGCTTTAGAGATGTAAAGTATAAATATATCGCAAAATAATAATAATAATAATGGCTTTATTCCAAACAGTATTTGTGGTACAGGTATGGAATTTTCAGCGTTCATTACAATATTGCATCTAATTACCTCATAAATTTTGTAAGAATTTAAAAATAAAAAAAGCAACAACAACAAAAGAAAAAAAGAGAAATAGAAGAAATAAAAAGAACAGTATTGCATTCACATATTTAAACAATACACCACAGGATATGATATATAAAATTAGTGTGTAATAGAATAAATGAGCAACAATATAATAGTAACAAAGAAAGGAGAACAAAAGCTAATGGGAACTATTTGTTAGAGTGCCGCAGTAAGGTGATCGTGTCATGCCTAACAGTTTTCTCATCACATAACAGCTGTGCCAGATAGGGTATTGTGGAGTTTTTATACTTGGTAGTCCTGGCATATAGCTTCCTATAGTTACTTCTAGTTCTACCAGATGAAATGCAAGGAGAGAGCTGTGTATAGAGAGGATGCTCAGGGTCTGACAATATAGTATTCGCTAGTTTCTCACATGACATTATATGTCTATCCACTATGGTGTTAACCAGTTGGTTTAACGATATCCCACTTGCCCTACTAACAGCTTTTAGTGCCCTACGCAGCGAAGCAAAGTCTTTCTTAAGTAGTCCTGGAAAGATTAAGATTAATTTAACGTTCAGTCGTTAACTTTAAAATGATAACAGTAACGCAAAGTTAATTTGAAGAAACCTTAACCAGAGAAAATAGTAAGGTAAAATACTAATAGTTGCACATCTGTGCGTAAAACTCCGTACACTTTCAAAGAGAATTATTCTACTTCACAATGACTAATAATTCACGATCCAAGTAAATTACAAAGAGGCTGCGAAATGCAGTGAGAAAATTTCACATGCAATCATTACAAGCCAATCCCATCAAAAATAACCATTGATAAAAATTCAATCATCTCAGCCACTTGTAATAAACTATCACACTTATAAATGAAGCATGTATCCGCCAACGCTTACATCTGGTTATCCATTTAGTTGATTTATATCAGTATCACGGAGCTTATGCTGAGATACCAAAATCTATGAAAAACCTTACGTGACATGTTGGGTTTTGAGTAGTTGAAAGACATTATGTCCCAACCTCTTATGTAACAGAATCGTTATACTGATGTCAGCTGTCACTTAAAACGGCCAGTAACCCAGCGAAGTTATAATAGGATGACGTGACGACTTCGTTTATCGAAATACTTCGATGAAAAATTGCCGAACTGGCATGAATTCGCTACGCCTTTGAAGAACATTGATATATATATATATAAACATGAAATATCCCACCCCAAAATGAGCAAACAGAAAATTACAAGAACTGGAGTTAAACACAATTGTCCCAATAATTAGCATTCACCAACCTTTGCTACTTCCTTCACTGACAGTTCGCAACTGAACTTGACATGATAGTGGTATAGCAGTCCTTTATCAGTAATTATTAGAAGAGTCCGTTTGATCTCGTGATAGAGTATTCTTAGAATACAACCCTCACAGCAAACCAGATTATTCATCGTACAGGCTGAAGTTTCATTTACGTCCAAATTATCGTACTTGACGCACGTTATACGACCTGCAAATCTTTAAAAATTGAATTCAAGCGAGGAATTACCATCATCAGATCCAACTAAATAAAATCCGAAATGGGTACTCAATTTAGATGGAACTTTACAATGAAGTGATTCGGTAAACTTATCGTCTAAACTGGAAACGATTTTCAAATTTATATTGCATTGTTAAAATTGACTTCACATACCCAACTGATTCATCTGTCGTATGATTTAGCGTAGACAGTGGTATAGCATATGAGATGCTGGAATTAATGTTGGAGACATTGATAGGTTTCTGTCCAAAGATATTGCTTTTAACGTGAGAAAATATACAGACTGCCCCCTTTGTGTCTGTCACCAGAAGAAATCGACCATCAGGAGACCAAACCAAGGAAGTTATAGTTGCTTCAAACTTAAAACTTATGTCAAACGTGTTGTTTTCCAAAAGAAGGCAGGCGGTCACGCAACCATTATCCCAACCAACAACCAATATACAATCGAAAGGGTGCCAGGAAATACATGTAGGCGCATGTGCTCTTATTATACTAGTATCTTTATATTTCAAGCTCTAATTAATTGTGATATAAGTTAAAAATGTTTACTTGCAGACTTGAAACAGCTACCTCACCAGATTCCTTTTGTGTTTGTAATGCTACCGCCAAAAGAGAAAGACGAGGATGCCACTCAAGTTTTATTATTGACCCCGAAAAATCATTCAGTTTTGTGCTAAGAAAAACTGACATTTTGATTCACCTCGAAATCATATCCAAGGCCTAGCAACGCGTTTACATAAGAGAATCACATGATACGGTTAAACGATTTCAACATCCAATACGTTTGTTTCTGCAAG